GAGATTCGATCTCTTTAGCTTGGGCCTCTACCTGTTGCCTCAGCTTGACCTTCTCTTTGTTTGAGGCCTCTAGAGCCTCAGTGGCAAGTCGATGGTCCTCATTGGTATGATTGACTCTCCTTGTCATAATAGCCACCTGGCACTCCACTTCATAGAGCTCTTTCTTCAGCCTCTCTATCTCCCTATTAGCTATGAACAGCTCACCCTCAGCCTCTTGCCTAGCCATCTCTGCCTTCGAGGCCTTTGCTTGGGCAGCTCACACTGCATCCTCGTAGTGCAGTGCCTCCTTCAGACGCTTGGTCAGATCCTTCCTCTTGGCATTGAGGTCCTTGACCAAGCCCTAAATTTGAACACTTGTACTCAGGGCCCAGGCAATGCAAGCACTGTTGGCAGCAACCAGGTCTTCTGCAGTGCAGGAGGCAGTGTGATCTTTCCACTCCTCGATCCAATAGCTACGATCGTCGCCTCAACACCTCCATCACCAGCTCCTCTCGATTGGTGCCCAGGAATGTCCACCTCTTTTTCCAGACGAGCCCTTTTTTTCCTCTACTGCCCCCGCATTTGTGTGACTGGAATGGCATGAATTAGGGGATCAGCTGGGATAGTAACTGTGGCAGCAGGAGCCGTCATCCTCTCTTTATGGCCACACCAGTTGGGATTGTTGTTTGACGAAGGACCGGGACACGCCTAGCCACGGTGGGCCCTTTGACGAGCTGGCAGCCCTATTCCCTTTTCTTTGGAGAGCTACCTCTAGGTCTTCCTCCTCCTCCTCCGCTGCTGGTCTGAGCTGTTTGCTCACAGCCGCTAAGTCCTCCATTTGTTTTTGTAAGTGGAGAAGGTCGTCTTCAAGGCCCTAGCCTCGGCCATCATTCGTTGAATTATTTTAAAGTCAGGCATCACCGACCTCTTCTTGTTGAAATTGTCTACAACAAAACAAAATGAATTAGTACAAAGTGCAAAGAGTTCAGAAATTCATTACAATAGGTACACTTTAGATAATTACCTTGAAGGGCCATCAGTTCGTGCGTGACAAAGTAAATGATCTTCCTAATAAGCTCGTTGTAGGACCTCCTCTTCAACGGAAGTTGATAGATGATGCAAATTATATCAAACTCCTCGATAGAAAGCTCGCATCGAAGAAGAATATTTACAAGAATATCAAATAGTTACTTTCCGAATTGATGCGATACACAAAAAATCACGAGGCTCCAGTATTCACTAAGTTTTGAATAATTTGTGGGGATCGTAAGAGGCGTCAGGGGGTCCCTCTCCATTGTGTCCCATCTCCCTAAGGCCCAGCATCATGAGCTCTTCCATTTCTTCATGGAGCTCGGCAGATCGAGCACAAATAGAGTGTAGGAACCCCATGAGGTCAGGTAATACCACCCCCTAGTCTTCTCGCCCCTCCCTCTCCCCACCCGCCACCGCTACCTTAAGGATGTACAAGGTCCGAAACACCAAAAATGGCATCTCTATCCCAAACGACGCCTCCTTCCATAGCATCCACAACCCTACCATTTGGCTCCAAGAGTTGGGGTTCAATTGGGTCGGGTCTAGGACATAAGACCTTATAACATAATGAAAGAAAGGATGGATCGGTAGCCTAAGGCCAGTCCTAAGAAGTGCTTCGCTCACTGCTACGCAGCCAGGCCTAGGGTAATAGGCTCGCTCATCAGGCTCCAGTAAAATTAGACCTACACTGTCTGGGACCTATACTCTTTCCTAAGTCTATCAAGGTTAGCAGGCTTAAGTTTGGAAGGATAATCAGACGCCTCCAAGTGTATGGAAGTGTCTACCGGGCTATCAGGTCACCTTCAAATGTTTTTCCCACTCTAATAACGCTTCAGACAATTTCGAGGAGGTCGCCAAAACTGGCTGGTTAGCCCTAACTATTTCCAACTCCTTCCCAGACGACCCACTACCCTCAGAGCCCATATTTTTCAGAAAAACTTGTGAAAAACTCAAGAATGCATACGAAAGTCGATCAAAATGGGTGACTTAACGCTGAAAAATGGAAATGTCACCGAAAAACGTTTGATACTCATCGAAAATCGTTAAGAAATTTGAGAACAACAGGATTCTGAGTTTACAAAGGTGAAAATGTTGAAATGGCAATAAGTCCTCCTTTTATAGGAGACCTCAGACGATTCCCACCGTTGAATTCAAACAATGTCAATCAAAGTCATTCATCTTATCACAAATCTGGATCATTGATTTGATCAATGCCCAATATCTGACTGTGTCACTCACGCACGCATAAAACACGTCACCTCGAACAACAACAGCCGTCAACAATAAGTAGCCGCAGTAGCCCTTTTTCTAGGAGCAGGTAGCATATCCAACTGTAGCCTTGGAAATACGCCACAGCTGTCACATCGATTAACGTCATATCAGGAATAAGCTGTCCCTACTCGCTTCGGATAAAGCTCTTTACCCAGCTTTACAAAGTTTCGACGCACCTGACGCAGAGTCCCCTGTGGGTCATCGCCTCGGTCGCTGCATTCCCTCAACTTTTCAAAGCTTTAGCCATCTCCCAACGCATCGTCCCCTGTGGGTCAACGTACTGGTGGAGATGAGCTCTTCACACAGCTTTACAAAGCTTCGACGCATGTGACGCGGAGTCCCCTATGGGTCATCACCTCGGTCACTACGATTTTCTCAGCTTTTCAAAGTTTTAACCATCTCCTAACGCGTCGTCCCCTATGGGTCAGCACACCGGTTGCAGATGAGCTCTTCACCTAGTTTTACAAAGCATCGACATACTTGACGTAGAGTCTCTTGTGGGTCATCGCCTCGGTCGCTGCGTTCCCTCAGCTTTTCGAAGCTTTAACCATCTCCCAACGCGTCGTCCCTTATGGGTCAATGCACCGGTGGCAGATGAGCTCTTTACCCAGCTTTACAAACCTTTGACACAACTGACGCGGAGTCCCCTATGGGTCATTACTTCGTTCCCTGCGTTCCCTCCTCAGCTTTTCAAAGCTTCAGCCATCTCCCAACACGATGTTCTCATGTGGATCAGCACCCCAGAAGAAGTTCAACTCCTCTCCCAATAGAATCACAACTCACAATGCCTCGATTATCACTAATCTTAAGCCAGCAGGTATTTGGACCATTTGCTGGATGCGTCCTCTCGCATCAGGACTTCATCAAAATCCGCAGTCCCTACTCTAAGCTCGGTATACATAATCGAGAAAACAAGTCCACCCATGATATCAATATTCATGCCTGAATTTGGGGGGACCACTGTTACGCCCAGGCACACTACTACCCAAAGTGTCACATATCCATCTAAAGTGGTTTCAAAGTGATCCAACAACCCCCAACTTCATGCACTGCAAGGAATAGGGTAGATCCACTGAATCAGCCGAAGTTGCCCCTGACGCCGAAACCTTAAGCACTCGGAGGTGATCCTTTAACAGATCCCTCCGTCGCCACTTTCAGAAAGATATCTGTATCAAGATCCTCTCTGTCTCCAATGATTAATTGATGTGACGTCTCCATAGATTAAGTTGATGTGACGTATCAACTTTATGTCAACTCAACTCAGAAGAATTAATTGTCCGCCCACTCTAGACGCGGCTGATTAACGCCTATGAGCAAATGCCTCACAACGTCAGATGCATACACGTATTCTACATCCAACAGTACTCCATGTCTATAAATACCCAAGGCTTGGCAAGGGGGAAAAGTAATAAAACTCTCACAACTTAGTTTTCCATACTAAGAAATATATATTCTCTTCCCCACTCTCTTGCATAATTTGAGCACTGTTCCGGTCACACTGACTTGACCGTCGGAGTGTATGCGACCACCACTGGTTCCGATCGTGTGCTTTTGACCGTACATTGTTGTGTTTAGGGAGGATTACGTAGAGTGACTATCCGTTGGCCACGTGGAGGGTCCAATTCGCAAGGTCAACATTTATCATTGCTTTCTCTCATACCCTTTGTGGTTATTGAAGGTGGGAGTTTGATATTCTGCCTAAGACAATAATTCGTTGTCTTTGCTTCAATAAGCTTGTAAATTAGTCGTTTCAAAGCATAATCGTTAGGATTCCTTGTTCCCAGAGACGATTAGTGAGTTAAATAGGTCAAACCCACTTTCTGACTTTCATTCCCATCTAAGTCAACCTGAATTGTAGGTTTTTAATCCTCAATTTTTTGTTCAAAATTATTACTCAAATTTTAAGTTGTGGGCTTGAAATTTGATGATAAAGATTGATTTTTCTTTTGGAGTACTAAAAGATTGGGAGGGTCTAGTTGTATTTAGGGGTGTCAACGAGCTAAGTCGAGCAAAAACTCGGGCAAAAAATTGAGGTTTATTGTTGTTTTTTTTCATGGTAGCTGCAAGCTACATTTATATATAAAAAAAAAATTTTAATTTCGAGCTGGACTGCTAGCCACACGGGCCGGCTTGGGGCTCGGCTGGAATTTTTTACGGGCCATCACTAATTGCATTGAAGTTTGTAGGCCTGATAAAGGAGAACAAAAAGAGCCCAAGACTCTACCTTGGCCTCGAATTTTCTTAGAAAAGACAATGAAAATGGGTTACTAGAAATAGTTGAGCGAGAGTAAATATGTATAAAACGAAGGGATCTAGAAGATTGTGGGAGTGGGAATGGATCATTTTATTGTAAGAATGAATTTTGAAATAGTAAAATGATGGAGAACGTGTGGTTAAAAAGTAAGAAAAGATTTTGAATTTGCATATAAGACTATTTTATTAAAAATGTTTGATTTAAATGAAAAGATAAAAAAGTCGTTTTAGAAATAACTAGATCAAACAAGGGCTAGGTAAGTTTCATTAAGCTCCTGTTTGATTTCCATTTTTAGAATAAAATGAATTATGTAATAGTATTTTTTTGAAAAATGTATGATTAAACAGTAAGAATTTTTTTTTTTGAAATTCGTGTATTATTATTTTATAGAAAAATGTGTAGTAAAAAATGAATTTTAAAAAAAAAAAATTTTTGAAAAAATGTGGATCAAAAAAGGGCCCGTTCCCTTCCCAATGGTAACCCTAATTACCTTTTAGTTTTTCTAGTTTTTCCTGTTAAATGAATATATATGTTACAAGATTGTCATGATTGATTATTTATTATTTGGGGATTTTTCATTATTTCTTTGCGGAATTTTTTGATATTGATGCTGATAATTGATTTACTTGGTTTTTCTTTATTGAATTTTTTCATTATATTGTATTTAATATTTGGGAAAATATTGTGCCTTCAGTGTTTGGGCAAGGATATTTAATTTTCGGAATTCTGAATTAAAAAAATGAGAGTTATGTGGAATTTTGTTTGTTTGTTTTGGAACAGTTTAGGACTGAATTTCTTTTATGTAAGTTTTCAGATTGTCAGTATATCTGTGAATGCTAGTTTACCAGCATTTTCTCCTCTTGCATATGGTTTTTACATTGAAAAAGAAAGACAAATGTTCATGGTGAAAGAAAAGTCTCTTTTACCCAATTAGACATCGTTTGCGTGGTCGCGTGGTCTTTATGCATGTTTCTTTATCTCCCACATCCATTTTACTTATATTGTCTATTATTATATTTGATATAACAATTTTGCTCTGGACTGTGTCTGCAAGGCATGACTGGAGTTTGGTTTCTATTTCTTCTTGAGTCTCGATAAAGAAGTTATCTTGGATTTGCGTCTTTATAGATGTGTCTTTACCTGCCACATCTTAGGTTTGCTTTTAGAATTAAATAAGCTCTTTGCTAGTAAGTTTCCATTTTGCTGAGTACATTCATTTGTTTTGAAGAGATATAAGTCCCAAAAAGAACATGAAGATTAATAGTTCTTTCAATGCTCTCTGAGTTTTGTGAACTTGTGCATGATATGTAACACATCTCAGCGGTATAAGCATCAGATCATGCAGTTATCTGTATAGTTTGCTTCATATTTAAAGCTGAATATTGATTTTCATATAATTAATACTTCGGATGAGTACTGATTCCATGTTTGATGACTAGTACCGCGATATATTGTTGGAGAATCTGAGATGGAAGCCTCTAAAGAGGGTAGAAGCCTCACTGATTTTAGATATGCATGTGTTGGATATTCCCTTTACCCGGACCGGAAGAAGCAGGTAGCTGATGGACAAGAGAAACAAACAGAATTGCCAGTTTGTTTTGGCCTCGAGGTTAGTGTCTCCTTCTTACATGCGGTTTGAGTTTCTTTTTATTTGCCTCATAGAATGGTTAAGATTAATGTAAACACTTGACCCTTACTTTTCCAGTTTCTTTGTCTTTCTCTATTCAATTTAAAGAAACACACACATTTCATTAAATGTGATTTTTTTCTTTTTTTTGAACATTTTATGACTAAAACTAATCACAAGAAAACATCATCTTTCAATTTCCATGTGTGCTGCACGCTTGTGCATGGATGGTGAATAACTAATGCAATAAATTGCACTATCCTGGACATAATGATACAGTAGGTTTAATCCTGTCCTGTTTAAGGTGTTATTTACCCCGTGGCATTTTCTGGTTCAATGTTTTTTTCGCTTCCTTGTGTCTTCTTAATACCATCTTATGACTTTGCTGAGATCATTGAGACTTTTGCTCAGGTTTTAGTAGATCGAAGAGTTAACACTGCTGACTCTGCTCCTACTCCTGCTCCTGTTCACAATAGAGAAGGTAACTGTTCTTTCTTTTCTTTTTAATGCAGATTGTTTGCAATGTGCAATTGTTATGTGGGATTTAATGATTTATTTGTGAGCAGTAGGTTGTTTTTGATTGCCAAATGAAGATTTTGCACCATTCTGTGATCTAAGTAGCCATGTTCAAGTTATATATGTTTCCGACTAGGTGTTAGTATTGTTAATGGCCTAGCTTCTGTTCAGGGAATATTGTGTGTGCTTGAAGTCCTTCCAAATTTTCATTTATAATCTTGTTGGAGTTGTTTTATTATCTAAATTCCTCCGGTCAACATGGCATCCTCGATCCAATGGGTGACATCATTACAAATAGACAAACACAAATCTTTGCCTTCATTTGAAAAAATCACTCCACTCTCTAATTTTCCTTTTTCTTCTATATTTTTAGAAACTTATGATAATTCAATAAAATAATTACATAAAATGAGAGAGAGAGAGAGAGAGAGATAAAGGTTGGTGAATTAAATAATTGTCATTTTCACGTTCGAAGTCCAATTTCCACCTTCAATGAACTAGTTGAGCTTGATCATTAGGATGGCTTATTTTTGGCTTTTGTAACCTTCAAGTTCTATACCTCTGCATATACTTGTAGAGTTGTACCATGAATGAACTTACACTTCATGTACTAGTCTTAGCATGACTACTATGAAATAATCTATCTGTTTTATACTTTATAAATGACATAACCATGTGACCTTTGGCATTACTATATAAACAAATGTGAAGTTGATGTCAACTTTTGATGCGACCCTGTTGTCAGCAGGAAATTTCAACCATAAAAATGGTAAAAGAAAAGTTAATATCCTAGTCTTCTCATTCTTTATTTTTACCTTCTTATAGCTCCGCCCACTCCCCAACACACATGAAAACCATCCAAAAATGGAGGGTAGACTGCCTTTTGAAATAAGGTTTGACATAAATGGAATGGCAATATACTGATCCTTCATCTGATCAATTAGCTACTATGGACTTTGTTTTGACTAAAAATTTGGGCAGCAGTCAATTTTACTGTAACATATTAATCAGTATGGAGAATACAAAATTTCTCTTTTGCTTAGTGGAAAAAGGAAGAGGTCTTAAGCTTGTTCCTGTTATAAACATTATTGGTACGTCCTGGACAAAATGCTTGCCATATAAAATGTTTATAAGAAGAAGGTGGTTCTGAATCAATCATTTACTTTGATATGTTAAATAGGAAATAACTATCAATTTTAAATCCAGTAATATAGTTGACAGTTGGACTAGCACGCAAATCTATTTAGTTAAATATAAATTGAATATGGTTATGCATTATTCCTAGTAACAAATTCCTGTCAATATGTGTATATATCATACGCCCAAAGGCAACATTTCCATTTATTTAGTTAAAAGTAGGGGAGGGGAATTATGGTGATATAGTGGAATAAACTGCATAAGCTTCTAACTAAATAGGCGGTACGGTGTTCATTTGAGGCAGGCAAAAAATTTATTAGTGTTTGTTATAAGATATATGCCATCTTATATTTTTTGAAAGGCTGCATAAAGACGCTTCTCTTATGTATATAGAGATTATTATTTGCTTTATTAATGAATATATGTTGGCACCTGTAAGTGATTGAGGCTTAACTTCTACTATTGTGGCATTTCATTTTCTACATGAAATTATTGTGGACAACTCCATTCTACCTCTTTTAGATGCTCTTTATTTCATTAGCAATGCAGATATTTATGGGCATTCATGATTTGATTCTCGAGTATTTTATGGGAGGACACACCTATCCTTGTAGTTATTATTTTTAATCTATTAAATTTGTCTGTTTCTTGCAGATGGTAATGGATTGCCACAACGTCGAACACATAAACCAACTCATTCAGCTGGAGATGAGTTCCTGAGCAGGCAAGCACATTCTTATTTCATTTTGAAATCAACTTTTTAGTGTTTGGCTGAGTTGAATGTCAGGTCTAGATAAATATCCAAATTTTGAGACCGACGTGTCTATCTTGAAAGCTTGAACGCCAGGCTTAACAAATTAATATTTAGAATTACAGTTATATCGAATATCATTTTTTTGACACATATATGTACTATAGTTTGCAGACAACTTCTAATAACTGCAAATTACAGTTCAATGAGAACATTCTTCATTGTAATGTGATATTATAAGTTATCTGGATATCTTTGTACTTCCTTTTGCAATCAATTCTGTTCAAGCCATGACTCGTAAAAATGGAAATTTACCCACTTCTCAGGAATATCTTTGGTCCTCGCAATTAAAAAGGACCATGCCTATTGGTAAAACTGAACTTTAGTCTTTCACAAATAAATAAAGCATATTTTAAATATTTGATTATGGTCTTCATAACATAAAACTCTTTATCCTTTAGATGGCTGTGATTTGACTTCTACTGATAAATGAATAGCTTTTGCTTGTGTAATTTTATTAATAGTACTTTAGTTTTCAAGAGAAAATAACTTTTACGGTTATAAATTGCTAATCAAATACTATGTAAAAGTGAATAAATTGATATAAGCCATGCCTGGAATTGTTAGTCTTAGAGTCATAAAAACCATCAAAATTGGATGGCAACTGAAAAAAATTGTATGCTGACATGAGTTCTACAGAAACAGTCTTTAATATAGCAAAATCTGAAATATTTCTGCTTAATTGGTAGTGTATGTTTCCTCTCTACTATCGAGTGATGACTAGTTACTGTTTTATGCAGATTTTGAGTTTCTTTTTTCATTTTAATTGGTATTAGTAAATAGAATACTCTCTCTTTGGATTTGTATTATGTGAATAGTTGAAGTAAAAGGAGTGCTTAAAATTTTGATGAGTAAAATATATAAAAAGTTTACCAAACAATAGTGATTGTATTACATAATACCAACTTACTGTTTTATTTCTTTTGCTTTAAAGAAAAGTCACACTTTAAGCTATTGAGCTAGGAAAGTGATCTTGGTGCAGGAAGAGGAACTGTAGTTCTTGAAAGAAGAATAAATTTGAATCAACTTGAATATTTGTAGAATAATATTATTGTAATAAATTGATTATTGAAAAACTTACAAGACCTTTTGTATATATAGATAAAATAATCTCTTAATTCTAATAGATTAAGGAAGATAAGTAATTAAAATCTAAAAAAAATAAGTAATAAAAAACATGAAAGAATTAAAAGTTCTAATGTAAACAAGAGATAAAATGCTATTACAAAATATCATATTTGTAATAAAATTGTCCTACATCGCTCTTTCACACTAAGAAGAAATTTGTCATTGAGAGAGGTTAAAGAGAATATTAGGTGGAAAATCTCGAAAATTTCTACATCATGTTGTTAGAATTCAAACCTAGCTTGGGCTCTAGGAAAATATCTAGCTAGTTGTTGCCGTGTTCTGGACTCGTTGAAGCGACTAACATTCATAGCAGTCAAGATTTGCAAATAGCAGCATATTTTATTCATCCTTCTAGATTCTAAAATGAGGTTGGTAGTTTTGCAATCCTTCGATCGTCGTTACAAGGATGCATGCCACTACCATCATAGGTGGTCATTAGTTTAGGGTAAAATGTGCTATGATATCATTTTGGTGTGAAATTGAAATTGAAGTTCTTAAAGAAGAATAAAGTTGATTTAGCTAGAAAATCTGTGGAATAATTTTATTGTAATGAATTATTTATTTAAAAATTTGCAAAGCCTTTGTTTATATAGGCAAAATAATCTCCTAATCCTAATAGCTTAAGAAGATAAGTAAAAAAAGTAATTAAAAACCTAATGGAATAAGAAGTCCTAATAAATAAATAAATTAATTAAAATTAAAAATTAAAAAATGTTCCCAGTACAAAAATGAATAATTTCTTGTCATATTTATATTAAAATTGTCCTACAGCAATCTCTTTCATTCGGAAAAAACTCGTCTTCGAGTGAGGTTCAAGAAAAGAATATTAACAAATAAGGAGGAATATCTTTAACAATTTTGCATCACATTGTTAGGATTTGAACCTAGCTTGGACTCGAAGAAAATCTCTAGTCACCCGTTGTCATATTCTAAACTCATTGAAGCGACTAACATTCATAATGGTCAAAATAAAAAATAAAAAAATTGTAAACAGCATCTTTGTACCCATACATTTTTCTTTTCAGATTCTAGATCGAGGTTTGTAATTTTGCAATCCTTTGTTGCGATGATGCATGCCATTAGCATTATAGGTGAGTCATCAGTCAAAGGCAAAACTTTGCCCCGATACCAATTCATAATTTTAGATTGAGGATTTATAATTTTGCAATCTTTCGATCATCGCTGCGGTGATGTATGCTACTAGCACCATAGGTGGCCATCAGTGAAGGGAAGAAGGTTGCTATGATACCTTTTGTGGTGTAGAAGTGGAATTGGAGTTCTTGAAACGAGAATAAGTTGTATACTCGAAAATTTGTAAAATAAATTTCTTGTGATGAATAGGTTATTAAAAATAATGGCAAAGTCTTTGTTTAGATAGGCAAAATAATCTCCTGATCCTAATAGCTTAATGAATATAAGTTTTTAAAGTCGAAAAGAGAAAGTTAACGTAAATTTGAATGAATAAAAAGTCCTAATATAAACAAGAAATAAAATCCTATTGGTACAAGAAATAATATCCTGCCCTATTTGTAATAGAGTTGTCGTACATTAGATCTCTTTCCTTGGTGGAGTGTGGTTTATTTTAGTGGTTAGATTTGAGTTTTTAGAATAGAGCGGCAGTGGGAGCTTCCATCCAAATTTTATGAGTATGCGTTTTTTCTTTTTGCGAACTATGCTGCTAGAATCTCTTGGCCCACCATTTATATGCTACTCATTGTTTGGTAGTGGATACATAGTGCTTTTAACTCTTATTCGATGCTACATCAAATGTCATTAAATGTCTCGCGTTGTTCTGGTAGGAATAGGTATTAAATTTTTATGAAAGAGAGAATAGGAGTGGAAAACAGACGAGAGGTATCAAGTTTTGAGAATTGTTTTGTGTGAGATTTAAATCCCTATTGAATTATACTTACCTGTAAATATGACACAAAAATACGAGTACAACAGTACTCTCATTCCTTCAAGAATATATGATGCCAGACGTATCTTCACTAGCCTTCGAGCTGGTGCATAGATATCGTGTGCCTAGCGCTCTCTGTGTCATGAACCATTGTATTTTCCACTTTCTTTATAATATATGCATGTTAATCTGTTTGTCTTTATATGCTTGGTCCTATCATGTTGCAGTGGATTCTGTGCTACAGGGAATCCTGTCTTATGATACCATTATAATTTTATTGCCAATGAGACCTTAATCCAGTTGTTCAAAGGACTGTGGCCGAGGACCTGTGATTAAATATTCTTTGTATGGTTTCTAGTTGCATTTTATAGGAGTTTATTACTTATTATTATGTGTTGCAATGTATATGTATGATAAAATTATGAATGAATGGTCGTTTTTACATGTTTTCCTGGTTTCTGTTGATTTATCATTATTTCTCTTGTTTAGGGAAAATTCTTGTATATATTAACTAAAAATTTGAAAAAAAAAAAAAAAAAACAGCTTGCCTTTTTTAAGAAATAAATATTTGGCTGCACCAAAAAATATAAGCTTTTTAGAATCTAGAGTATGTACAACTTGAGCACAAGCTATGGCCTCGTTCAAACACTATACTTAATTCACCTTTGCAGAAAACATGGAACGACTTGATTAATTCAAATCAAATTCAGCTGATTCCCTTGTTTGTTATCAATATTCTTTTCCGTCTAGAAATGCAATTTTAAGAGAACAATTTTATTTTATTTTTTTGTTCACATACAGGTTTATGCGAAATGCAAACCTGGTTGCAAATGGAGTGGCCAAGAATGTCCGCAGAGTGGGGAATCAAATAAAAGAGTCTCTAGATGACATACTGTATTCCTACCGACGGCCAAAGTAAGAGGCTAATCCTTCACGCGTAATGAATAAATATGGAGGAGGAATCAACCTTGATCTATAATGTATTATCTGCTATTTAGCAGTCTAATTTCCTCTCCATTTACCCCTTGCCTTACAAATTTGACGAAGTGCTGCGAGGGGCAAAGACGAAAGTTTTATTGTTTACTAGTGATAAAGATTTAGCAGTGTGTGTGTGTTTCTGTTGATGTTTAATTTGTTGAGGTGAATGGAGGCTGAAGCTCCTGTTTTGGCCTGTATTTTTCCCTCTTAACATTGAGCTTGTACAGCAACATTTTGTTGGTACACCCCAAAATTTAAATAGCAGTCATGAAATGCCAATGTTAATTGTGTTAATCCAAAACCCAAATCCTGGCTTTGCATTTTTTCTTGCTGGGAGTGGGAAATTATGCTTGAGAAAGCTTGCTTGATTCCGTTGGAGGAAAATTCACTCATCTTCAGATTTTCGTTCACATTATGATGTTCACTGTATCCGGAATTTATTCGGCCTCTTTTGGGAAGGTGTAACAAAAAGAGAAAAAGATGCCTAATTTGTTGGAAGGGGGTTTTGTTACATTAACATGGGCTTGACATAGTGAATAACCGAATACACACATGGGAGGTTGGCATTTTTTAATTCACAGGGGACCCACTTGCAAAATGTAAGGGTCGGTCAAACTTTATGTCAACCAATTCGATCACTTTAGCTTAATTTTATTGGAAGACACCCTTGGAAATTATTGCGTTTTAAAGGTTCTTCAAGGGAGATCCATGCAACTTTTAAGTAGAATCAGGTTTTTTAATGGTAGCCATACGGTCCCTATTCTTAAACATTACATGTACAAAAAGGTTAAATTATATGTGTGATAGACTGTCAACTCTATGAAGGGACGTTTGACATGTTTTTTGAAAAATTATAACTAGCTTTTGAGATCTAAAAATAACTTTTGAATCCATTTAACTAATCTTATGAAAGTGCTTAATTTAGTTAGACAATGTTTGAGAGGAAGTTGATTCAAAGTGATTTTTTTTGAAAGCATTTCTAGAATAAGAAGTTATCTTAGAAATTAGTTTTTCAGCAAAAATTAAGGTAGTTTCATTCTAAAGTTCTTTTACAATATTAAAAAAAAAAAAAAAAAAAAAAAAGTAAAAATCATGTCAAACGAATTTGAAATATATTAAAAGATATCTTGGATATAAAAGATATCTTGGTTCAATTCTTATCTATGACCCCTAGCATATGAAACATTATTGTCATTTGGATTAGATGGACCACCTTATCATACATATGGGCGTGAATGAGAGTGATTTGTTCATGTTCAATAAGTGTTGTGTGCTCTACTATTCGTAAAAAATAAATGTAATTTGAAACTAATAATAAGGACCGTTTGCCCCTATTTTTTTTCCATTAAATTATATTTCATTTTTCCCTCTTCTTATCAGTTACACATTCTGCAATAAAATAGTTTTAAATGTAAACCCAAAAACATTCATTCTTTTAACTACACATTCTTCAAAAAATTATTATTCCTTTAATTATAATGCGAAAAAAATGGAGACCAAACGAGCATATTAATTATTTTTGTTTATCATTTCTTCAATGTTTTATTTATATACGAATATAGTTTTCAGTTAAAATTATTATTGTCAAAATTATATAATAATGTTTGAATAAAATAATATTTCCTTTATCGTAATGCCAAAATCTAATAAAGAATGACATTGCGCCCCGTATGATTATCATAGATTGAAGAATAAGAATGAAAAATATAATCGTTACGGGACCCACATAAGAGATAAAAAGTCAAATATGATGACTTGATGTGATGGATAGTGATCATATTTTTCATTTTTGCGGCTAGAGAATGAGAATCAAAAGGGGTGAAATAAAAATTAAAATTAGGAAAAAGAAACAAAAGGGGGTAAAAAAAAAATAAAAATTTTTCCCCCCCCCCCCCCCCTCCCGCTCTTTTAGTTAATTTTTTATTTAATGTAATAATAAGTGAAAAAAAACAAATAAGAAAACAAATATAATTTTATATTTAGCATAATGGGGAATTTAAGCTGAAGGGGGGAGGTTTTCGTTAAGTTTATTATGCAGAATAGTAAATACACACACATAAATTAAGTTTTTATTTCCAATTCTCATTTTCCATGCTTTTCACTCAAAGGTCATTACAATAGCTCTCGAATTCTCTTCTTGGAAGAAAACGCTTTACATTTATGTGCTTGTTTGGTAGAAATTTTAATAATTGATTTTTTGATCGTTAGAGATAAAATGGATCCTACCTGTGAAAGAATAATTCAAAAATGACGACTGGAATAATGAAATAACGATCAAAAAGTTGATTTTAATTGACTTATAATCTGATCCAAACAAGCTCTATATCAAGTTTTGTTTTAATTCAAAACTGTTTCAATAAATATATGAAAAAAAATCACTATTACTTTGATTTAAAAGATTTTATTATGAAACGTATGCTTGTTATGTCGGTGTCTTAATTATTAAATGTACGATTTCAAAAAAAGTTAAGTGGAAGTATCTGTGAATTGTGTGGTATAGATTTGAGAAGTAGAAAGAAAAAAGTAGGTAGGAACATGCATCAGCATTCCCAAAAAATAAAAAATTCATTTGCAGCCATTTTTGTGTATATGAATATGCCGTGTGGGATTCATTGATTGAGTCACATTACTTAATAAATAAAGTTCACTTTTACAAAAATCATCTTCAAATTTGGTGGCATTTTATTTTAGTTAGATGGAATTGATAACTCAATATTGTATTTGTCTGTAACTCTCAATTAATATGATGTGAAATATAAAATAAATTATTCAAAAAAAATTCATATATATATATATATATATATATGAATGATCTCTTAAACACCAATACTTAACTTATGTTAAGTACCGGTTATATGACACACCATTTAACTGATAAATCATGCATGAGTCACATAATTTAATAAATCTCCTAATGAGGTAGAAATTTGATACAGTCAATCCTTCAAAGATACATTAAGGGCCTGTTTGGGTCCAATTTTTTCACTCAAAAAATTGATTTTTTGACCGTTATTTCACTATTCTAGCCATCATATTTGACTTCTTCTCTCACGGGTGGATCTCACTTTTCTCCTAACGTTCAAAAAATCAATTCTCAAAATCACTCCCAAACAGACTCTAAATTGAGAAGATTTGTGCATAATCATGTTTTGACGAGTCAAAAAAGTTAGGGAATTTTTAATAATAGAAATTAGAATCTTTTAATCCTAATTCACGTAACAAACTCGAAATTGATGTCTTGACAGTGTTTATATTCAAAGTATGAAATTTCTTTTCATTGGGTTACGTTTTTCTCCAATCTATCTCGTTGTGAACATTTAATTTACCAAAGGAAAGAAAAACAAGTAAGGAAGGAAGACTAAAAAAGAAATAAAAAAAGAATAAAGAAAAATTATGTTCTCTACTTTGTTCGGGGATTTGGTCTAATCTTTATTTTCCATGATTGTCACTTCGTATCTTGAATTCTTCATTTTTTCCTATCTCAAGAAAGTAAATTGTTGTGGCTCGTAGAAAAAGGAAATAGAAGCATCTATCAATCTTGAAAAGTCACAAGCTGTACATTACAGAATTTGTGCCTAGCTGCCGTAGAAATTTTTCTAAGAAAAAAGTACATTCCATGCTCACCAACCTACAAAATAATGCTGGTGAGGAAATAGATAACATTTTAATTTTCAAAAGATACAATTTATTATTTAATGTTTGAGTCTCGTTCTTTAAATTTTATTTATTTATGTTGGTGAAACTCATTTTTGAATGTACGTTCTTTTAATAAAATAATTTTTTTCATATTTTTTAACTATAGTTCTCTAAAAATATTGCATTTTACGAAATATATTTTCATAAAATAGGGTCAAATGGTGGTTGTGTAGAAGCATGTTACCTACGCCCACATAGTATGATGATCCTTCTAGAATTAAATATTAGAGTTACATCCTAATTGGTGCTATTAATTGTCAAAGTGACACTATCCATCGTTCTTTATTCACCAAATGAGCAAAAAATCATGGATAAAATTGTAGGTTTACCATACGAGTGAAGCCCACAAATAAAAATTAAAGTTGTTTTAAGTTTTCTCATGTGAACACGATTAATTATTAATTTCTAACTCTTAAACTTTGTTGACTTAGCATAATAATATAATGTCGATCGGTGACATGTTGACACATTGATGGTGGTAGGTAAATTACTATATTTAGTTGATTGACAATTAGAGTGCGTTTGATTGACATGGAAAATATCATCTAGAAAAAAAAAATATTTTTTATTTTTTTTTTAGGAAAACAAAAACCACTCCCTACAAAGAAAATATTTTTCTTAAAAAATAAGGAAAATTATACATATTTTCAAAAGTTGAAAAATATTTTCAATGGAAAAAAATATCAATCAACATCCAAAGTAGGAATTTGGATAGAAAATTGATATTTTTCATGAAAAATAAATATAATCAAACATACCCTTAGTGTTAGCAGTAAAAACACATATATTAGAAAATAAATTCGGATATGTTTGATAGGCCTTTTTTCCATGAAACTTAGAAATGAAATTCCATTTTCCATGTTTTTTAGTGTTTGATTTGCCAAATTTTCCAAATAATTGGTTTTCTAGCTTTGTCCTCACATGATAAGCTTTTCTTTGGTTTTGAGGAATTCACTTTCTCATGGGGTTGGTGGAAATTGATTTTCTATGCAATTTTTTTTTTTTTTGGAAATAAATTCTAAGAACAATTGTAAAAAATGACATCCTTGAAATCGATAATTTTCATGTAAAATAAGTCAAACGAACAACAAAAATAGCTGATTTATTATTATTATTATTATTATTATTATTATTATTATTATTATTATTATTATTATTATTATTATTATTATTATTGACAATGGAAACAAATTCTAGGAATAATTGTAGAAGTAGATATCTCTTAAGTTGACAGTTTTCATGAAAAACAAAGTTAAACGAACACCAAATGACACTTTTATTTCAATATTTTTCAGGTGAAAAATTATACCAATCAAACACTATAATTGACAATTCCCAGTAAAATAATTTATAGACAATTTAATTCCCTAGAATTCATTTCCTTTCCGTCCAAATTCTATCTTTACGATCAAACGGACCTTATTGATCATAGGTGAATTACTCATAATGTGAATGAATAATTAATGCAATTCGTCTATTTCAAAATTGTTGGCAGTTCGTTTTAATTAGGTTTGCATTGCTCAACGTTCACACATGTGACAAGTAGTCTTTCTCCAAACCATATGTTACATATGATGTGAAACCAACATAATTTCTCTCCACCTAATATGG